ACTTTCTGGAACTTCAAATTGCATTTCAGATTTTCACAGCTATAGCTGCAGATCCACAACTATAACTGCAACTTTATGGATTTTTAATTCCTTCCCAGATTTCCACAGCTCGAGCTCCAGATCCACAGCTATGGCTGTGGATCTCTGCCTTCCTAAATTTTCTACAAAAATTGAGGAAATTCCTTAGGGGGTAAAATAACATATATAAATATCTACAATTACCAAAAAGAGTACCAAAAGTTGAGTGCAAATCATGCATAAAAGACACTCAACAATAGTCTACACACAGCCTAAAGCTTCCATCTTTCTTTTTAACTAACAAAACAGGAGTCACCCAAGGTGATACACTAGGGCGTATGAATTATTTTTCAAGAAACTCTTCTAATTTTTTCTTTAACTCAGCTAATTCAGAAGGTGACATCCTATAGGGTGCGATTGAAAGGGGTTCAGTTCCGGGTATGAAATCAGTCGAAAATTCAATCTCTCTGTCAGGTGGCAAACCAGGAATATCATTAGGAAAAACTTCAGGAAAATTTTGAACAATAGCTATGTTTTTCAAGTCGGCTTCCTCTTTAGCTTCCATAGAAGATAAGATTAAATATCCTTGAACTTTACCCCATGAAAATTTTCTTATTGGTTTGGATAATGAAATTGATAGGTCCTTAGAATCAGAAAATATTATAGACTTTTCTGCACAATTGAGAAGAACATGGTTGGAAGATAACCAGTCCATACCTAAAATCACATCTAATTGTGATAAAGGTAAGCAAATCAAATTTACAAGAAATTTTCTATCACCAATAAAAATAGGACAGTCTAAACAAACTTTATTGGCAATTACAAATTTGTTTGTAGGGGTTGAAACAATTAGATTATTCTCTAAAGAAGAAATTGGTAATTGGAGGTGTTGAACACAATCATTGGAGATAAAAGAATGAGTTGCGCCTGAATCATACAGTACATTTAAAGTTTTTCCTTTAATGAAACATTTACCTTGTATTAGATCGTTGTTTTGAACAGCTTTAGTTCCGGTCATGATATAAACTCTCCCAGTTGTAGGAGGTCTCAGTTTGGGTCCAGAAGTATTCGCGTGCGCCTTTGGTTGTCCACACTTAGAAAACATGTGACGAGGTTTTCCACACTAGAAACAAACAGGTCCTTTGAGATGACAGTCTTTAGTATAATGACTTTGTCCACACTTAAGACACTTAGCTTGATTATTCATGGGTCTACTGGAATTTCCTACAAATTGAGAAGATTGGGGTTTCCATTGTGGTCGATCATAAGGTTTTCCTTCATTATTCCTTTTCTTATTAAACTGAGGGCCAAAAGATTTTGGTCTATTATCCTTATTATGATCAAAACCTTCCAGAAATCGACACTTGTGTATTAATGTGGGAAAACCAAAGATTTCTAATATCCCTACTGCCTTTCTTAATTCTAGTCTAAGTCCATCCTCAAATTTAATACACTTCATCCTCTCATCAAGGTGATAAAAGAAAGCAGAATATTTTCCCAATTCTTCAAACTTAGAAGCATACTCTCCTACTGTCATATTACCCTGTTTTAATTGCATAAATTCTATTTCTTTAGTCCTCCTAACATCATTAGGAAAATATTTTTCAAAAAATTTTGCTCTAAACATTTCCCATGTAATAATTATTCCTCCTCCTTCTAATAACCTTCTAGTATTATCCCACCAATATTCCGCTTCTCCTACTAACAAACACTACATAGTTTACTTTTTGGTACCAGGACAGTTCATGGCTCGAAACATCTTTTCTATTTCTTTGATCCATAATTCAGCTTTTTTCAGGATTATATCCTCCGTCAAAATGGGAAGGTTTATTTCTCCTAAATTCTACCAGTCCCTGTGACTCCCTCATTCCTTCCGGTCGTTGATTTCTTAATAAGGTTGCAGCCATGTCCTTAATAACTTGTACAGCCTCTGTCAGTTCGGTATTTCTTCTTCCTGCCATCTGAAATTTTATAGATTAGTTTATCATACTAGAAACATGGTTAGCACATTTTCCCAAGTTACACATGGAGCGTTGCTCTGATACCACTCAATGTAATGCCCAATTTATAATTCCCAATATTATACGTATATATATATATATATATTGAAAATAAAAGTGTATTATAAATAATATTATACGTGATAATAATGAAATTTTTTTACAAATAATATTTACAATAATGTACTATTTTACACATTATTTCTTTCTTTCACTTCCATTACAATATTTACATTGATAGTGGAACTAAATTTACAATAACAAATAAAATTATAATAGATCCATCAAACAGCCTCCACATTCCAATTCCTTCCAAGGAAAACAACAGCTATAACAACTGCAAAATGATCTAGAATCCCAAGTAGATCCATCTATTTTGTAATATATTTAATTTAAAAACAAAGAAAAATGAGGAGTAAGAACAATATCCAATAAATACAATAATTCAAAAGAATGTACAAAATTGTTTATAATCAATATTAAACATATATATATATATATATATATATATATATCATATATTAGATTTTCATGATACAATAAAATTTGAATTATACTTGTAGTGACTAGTCAGTATAAATGAGGATCATCATAATACCAACCAACAGAAGGATATTTCACCTTAACCAACAAGAGGATATTTCACATTTATTCCTTATTCATTTAAATTTCGAAGGTCAAACTTTCAGCTACAAATAATTCAAACTTTATCTTTTATGGCCATAGAACAATATTTATCTTCATATAAATACATGAAGAAATAACAGCAAGACGAATCCAAGATATCACTATATTATAGTTGATTATAAAATATATTTACAATAAATATATTTACGTAAAAAGAATATATTGAGAGTACCAATGATATAAATAAAAATGACAATCATTATAAAATAATTAAACAATATAAAATATGAACACCTTAATAATTATTATGGATAAAAATAATCATAGGTTAAGCAAATAAATGAGGTTAGGGACACCTCACTAAATAAATACACATAAAAAATAACACAAATAAATAAACGTAGTAGTATATAAAATTTTAAAGAGATAAAGTTCTCCTCCCCCTATCTTAAAATGTAGACTTATCACGAGTTAACTGAAAAAATTTTCACGATCCTCTTCCTACTCACTTCTCCCTCTCTCTTTCTCTCGCTTTTCTCTTCCTTCTCACTATTTTTTTTTCTCCGTAAACTTGTGTTCACATTTTCACTCCAGGTTCAAGCCTATTTATAGTGTCAATTTTAATGATTACATAGCTAATTTTTAATGGAAAGTTTGTGTATTTTAGTTTGATTTCAAAGTCTCTTTACATTTTAGTTACTTAGAGATAAGGTTTATTAATTAAGGGATAAGAGGATAAGGTGGGCAGTAGATTTTTTTTTTTCTGGAAACAGATTTTTCTGCACAAATTTCATTTTTTTTTAACAATAAAATAATTATAAATTTTTTTAAATAATAATATTTTAAAATATATATATATATATATA